CCCATGCACTATAGACTGCTAGGCTCCTCCGTCCATGGAGTTCTCCAAACAAGAATACTAGAGAGGGTTGCCATTGCCTTCTCCAGAGCATCTTCCCTGACTCAGGGGTTGAACCTGGGTCTCCTGTGTTGCAGGCAGATTCTTTACTATCTGAGCCACCAGGGAAGCCCAGTAATCTGCATGGTTGGGTGTTTGCCTCCAGTTGAGAGTCCAGTCATTCATTTTCAGAGGCAAGTATTGTCTGTGATCAGGACTGGAGTTTTCCCCAGAGTAAACAGGACGAAGGGACAGGACACAGAATATGCAGAATGTTAATGAGGACACCTGACTATGGAATCTAATTTGGAGGGAGGAAAAGAGGTGTAAAGGTGTTAGGTTCAACAAAGGAAAATTCTGTTGATGCTGAGAAATTATTCAAATTTGAGTTCTTTGCATGAAATTTTGAAAATTCTATTTTATAAGTAGTAAGTAAGATCAACTAACACTTTCACTTTTCAAGTAAGGTCTAGAATCTTGTTTGTCAAACTGTTGCTGGGGGCCCAGCATCACCTAGGAGCTTTTTATAAATGTAGAATTTCCAGATGAATCAGAATCTTTATTTTAGCAAGCTCTGCAGTTGACTCAAATACACATTAAGTCTGAGAAATACTGGTCTAGAATAGCGGTTCTCAACTCTGGTTGCATAATAAAATCACTGGAGGAGTTTTAAAAGAACTCCAGATTACAAGTGAGAAAGTCTTGGGAGGCAGCCCTGGCACTGATACTTTTTTAAAACCAGAATTTGACCTTGACCATGGTTGGTAAGTAAGGAGTCACCTTTCTGAAGACAGAAAGCGTCAAAGTGTTGGATGGCTTATCTACTTGGATTTTCAAGTTACTGAATTACCACATTCTAACCAAATCCAGCCAGTTGTGACCACGTGGAGATTGTTGATCTTGCTGTTGCTCTTGCTTGTTCTTGTTCAGTTGTGTCCAACTCTTTTGTGACCCACATGGACTGTAGCCCACTAGGCTCCTCTGTCCGTGGGATTTCCCAGGCAAGAATACTGGAGTGGGTTGCCATTTCCTTCTCCAAGGGATCTTTCTGACCCAGGGATCAAACCCAAGTCTTTTGCATTTGGCAGGTGGATTCTTTACCACTGAGCTACCAGAGGAAGAACAGCCATGTGGAGATACAGATTGTCAGAGGCAAGAAATCTGCTTTTCATAAGAAATATATTTTAAAATTGTGGTTAAAATTGCAAAGAAAAAAATAAGCTCACTAGGAAATACACAGACAATAGGTTAGATTTTGACATGGAAAGAATGGAAGTTTTGAGCCTTCTGAACTATCAGCACACCAAAGCTGTCTCTCTTTTCCAACTGCTGAGTCACTTTAAGTTTATAGTTACATAGAGTAGCAGTGAGTAAAATAGCTGAAGATTTTATAGGGGTCAGGATAGTCACATTGACTTTAGCATTTTCTTCACTTTGGATCCACAATGATCAGTGGTGATCAGGGGAAAATGCAACAGAAATTAGAGGAATTCAAAGAAGACTCATGCTTCTGTCTTCAGTGGATGTAAAATTTTTCTCTGTGTCATTTATACATATGTTTATGTTATACTAACATAAATTATTACATATTTATTTATGTTAATATATATGTGCATATAAATTAACATAAGTAAGTGTTCATTTATATATTTGTTTGTATATGTTTGTGAGCTCCAGGCACATAAAACTGAATTATATACATGATATTAGAGGCCAAATTTAAGTAGAATATGACTGCCTTCCAGCATTTAACAGACCGATGGCAACATAAATGTAAACAGGGGACAGTCCAAATTCCAAAAAAGAATGATCAGTATTATCAAATGCCACATCAAGATGTCAAATAAAATGAGGACTTAAAATTACATAAGAAGTTCCAAATCAGAAGGTCAAAAGGATTTTCCTATAGTGATGCTAACTGAAACCACTCTGCAGTAGAGAGATGAATGGTGAGATGAGATTCTGGAGACAGGAATTATAGATTATACTTTCAGGGAGCAAAACTCTGAAAGGAAGGGGGAAAATAGAGCCAACAATGAGATGGGAAGATAATGAATGCTTGAAGGATGGCTTATTTTCTTAAAATTAGTTATTGAACCAACAAGGAAAGATAAGCTTGACCACAACCTTTCTGGCACCAGGGATCAGTTTTGTGGAAGATAATTATTCCATGGATGTGCAGGGAGGCAGGATAGTTTTGGGATGATTCAAATGCATTACATTTATTATGCACTTTACTTCTCATCTAATGCCACTGCTGATCTGACAGTAGGTGCTGGTCCATGACTGGGGGGGTTGGGGACCCCCGAGTTAGACAACAGTGACTGACCGGATGTGCCCTGGATCCAGATGACAGATGAGGGGGTGAGCCTTAGAGAGGGTCCAGGCTCCTTCTTTTTCTGGGAAAAGGAAAAAGGGAAGGCTGAGCAAGGCTACAACTAAATTATCTGGACACAGAGAAGTACGTCAAGCAAGAGGCTATTCTTGCCTCTGTCTGAGATGGCACTTGACTTCTTTTGTCACCACCCTAGTTTTCACCACCATCACCTCTAACCTAGATTGTTGCAATCGTCTCAACCATTCTGCTTGCTTTTAACTTCATCTCTCTTCTCTCTTTTCTCAATGCTGCATCCAGAGTAACAATAAGATTGAGCCTGATCACATGACCCCTCTGGACAAGACCCTCCAAATATTTTATTAAAATTGTCAGAGTCCACATGGTGACCTATTTGATATGCCGGTGTTCTACCCCCACACCCACCCTCGGCTCACAAATTCTGTGAGCCATCTGCTTCTCTTCTTTGGCTCCCTCACTCCAGCCATAGAGATCTTTGTCCAGGCCTTCAGCTGTGCTTCACTATCACCCAGGACTTCGCACTTGACATTCCCTCTCCCTGGAAAGCTCCTCCCAAGAATCATAGCTCAGCTTCTTCACTCCCCCAGATGCTGCAATCACTGGGGCCTTTTCAGGACACTATGTCTAAAAATTCTTCAATGTTCCTCTGTTGACATTTTCTATCCCAGTTGCCTGAATCACATTTTCAGTTTAGGCTAGCTACTCAAAGAGATCAGACCAGTCAATCGTAAAGAATATCAACCATGAATATTCATTGGATGCACTGATGCTGAAGCTGAAGTTCCAATACTCTGGCCACCTGATTCGAAGAGCCGACTCATCAGAAAAGACCCTGATGCTGGGAAAGATTGAAGATAGGAGAAGAAGGGGACAACAGAAGATGAGATGATTGGATGGCACACCAACTCAATGAAAATGAGTTTAGGCAAACTCCAGGAGATGGTGAAGGACAGGGAGGCATGGCATGTTGCAGTCCATGAAGTCGCAAAGAGTTGGGCATGACTTATAGACTGAGCAATAATGATGTGAACGATGTAACAAACAACTTGTTTTCCTAAAGTGCCTTGTGTTTTGTCCGACTCCACCATGAGAGTAAGGATTCTTATCTCTTATTCACGGGTCCATCCTCAGCTCCTTCACTGGTGACTGGTATGGTTGGCACTCAGTACACATATGTTGTGTGAATTGTGAATAGAGAGTTGAGGGCTTGAGTTTCCTAGGGACAAGTTAAAGGTTGTCTGAAGTGTAGTGATGGTCATTTTCGGCTAGAAATGGACATTTTAGGTTAGAAATACACATACTTGTATAATGTCTCTCACCAAGTTTAATGCTCAGGAGCTGACAGTGAAGGATATAAGCTCCTTGACAATGTTAATCAGTATTGCCCAAGCACACATATGATGCAGACCACACATGCAAGCCATATATGTAATTTTAGTTTTTAATTTTTTCCAGCTTAATTAGGGTATGATTAACTAATAAAAATATATATTTAAGGTGGACAATATGATGATTTGATATGTGTATGTATGTATACATACTCATATATACATATTGTGAATTATCACAACCAATGTAACTAATGTGATTTTACATTCTTGTTTTATACTAAGTCAGTGAATTCTGGTATGTATTTCATACATACAGCATATTTCAATTCAGAGTAGTCATATATCATATGCCAAATATGGTTAGTGGCTGCCATTTCAGGTGATGTAGAGTTAGACAAATGTCGTGTTGGAATTGGTTGGTTCTAACTGAAAGATATGATATGGAGGCAACTAAGTATGAAAGCAAGACAGCTGTTGGAATGACACAATAGAAAACCAAGAGCACCAGTAGGCGAAATGAGTGGGACAGAAGAGAATTCTAAAAGGACTTCCAAATTCTGGCAAAGGACAAGTCCATGGGATTAAAGCATGAGAGCCTGTGATCAGAGATTATCTGAAACATGAGATGGAAATGAAAGTTGTTATGGAACAAAAAGTACAATTGATAAGCAACGATGGTCCAGGAGAATGAGAGGTGCCATGAACAAGATCGTTGCTGAAGTCCTCAGTGAATGTGGGTGGAGGCGACAGGCTTTCAAGTCTGTAGATGACAACAGTGGCGTCTGGAAGACTTCAGCACAGGATGAAATGAAAATCTTTTATAAGTGTTAATGTGGGTTCTAGAGGTGACTAAGAGAATTCATCAACTTGACAGAGGGGGAGTGATAAGAAAGGGCAGAGTGTAACAGTAGGGGAAATATTAGAATAGCATTGAAGACAATTAGCTGGAACAGTAAGGGTAGCCCAGACTGGAAGACCAAAGCATACCTGTCATTAAATCAGAAGATGGGACTATTTGATTATATCTCGATAAGGATATTCCCTGGCTGACTGAAGGAGAATTTTTCCTCAAATAAGCTGGCACCGTCACACTACTTTAATCTTTTCACATCCTATGGTTCTTCCCAAGGGCAGAAGTACTCTCAGATAATGGCACTTAGATAGCCAAGATGAACTACTTAAGTCTGAGAAGCTTTATCAAGGCAACTCTCTTGTAGAATTCACAGTATATTTATTATCCTTGATGTCACTTTTCATATTACCTCTTTTAGAAGCTTCTTTAAAGGGATAAAGCAGGCCCCAACTGAGTCCTGAGTCTCAGAAGATCTTGTCTGAGACTTTAAAGGAGAATCTTAATTCTTAAAGCTGTAAGGCAAGAAAGAAAAAAAAGTCAGTACTTGCATGAGAATATCTTCTTTATTTGCCTAAGAAGACTGAACTAGTTGTGAAAGGAATCTTAAATTCTTCATTCAACTTGTTCATTATTCAATATTCATTCAATGAACATTTCCTAAATTTTAGCTAGTTATCAGGCTCACTGCAAGCTTTCACAGTGATGAAAAAGATAAAATCCCTCTCAACGAGATTCACAATGAAGCTGGAGACTGACAATTAACAAGGGAATTAAAACAGAATGTGGAGGGACGGTCAAGGGGGTCCAGGGACGTGTGGGTTGTAGGTTCATAGAGACAGAACATCATCTCAACCACCATACGGCCCCCTCCCAAGTAACCAACACCGCAGAGCATGCACTGAGCATAAGAACATAGAGGAGACCACCACACGGCACGTCAGCACAGAAGGACTGCCTAACGCACCTTTCTCATCTCTGTTTTTTGCCTAAAATTTCCTCTTCCTATATTTAACCATGATGGTGTGATCACTCATCTAGAGCTAGACATCCTGGACTGCAAAGCCAAGTGGGCCTTAGGAAGCATCACTACGAACAAAGCTAGTGGAGGTGATGGAATTCCAGTTGAGCTATTTCAAATCCTGGAAGATGATGCTGTGAAAGTGCTGCACTCAATATGCCAGCAAATTTGGAAAACTCAGCAGTGGCCACAGGACTGGAAAAGGTCAGTTTTCATTCCAATCCCNCCAGGAAGTAGATGTTATTTTTGTCCTCATTTTGTCCTCATTTCCTCAATTGAGGAAACTGAGTCACATATAGTCATAAACTAAGCAAGTCATTAGATAACTTGCTCAAGATCAAACTACTAGCATGTGCAGCAGCCAAGATGCTCAGGTCTGAATGTTTGTGCCCTTCCCCCTCCCCATTCATATGTTGATATCCTACCCTCCAATGATGATAGTGGACATCTTGGAGATCAAACCAGTCAATCCTAAAGGAAACCAGTCCTGAATATTCATTGGAAGAACTGATGCTGAAGCTGAAGCTCCAGTACTTTGGCCACCTGATGCAAAGAATTGACTCATTGGAAAAGACCTTAATGCTGGGAAGGATTGAAGAAGGAAGAGAAGGGGATGACAAAGGATGATATGGTTGGATGGCATCACTGACTCAATGGACATGAGTTTGAGCAAGCTCAGGGAGTCGGTAGACAGGAAGGCCTGGCCTGCTGCAGTCCACGGGGTCGCAAAGAGTCGGACATGACTGAGCAACTGAACTGACTGACTAAAAATTTCCTCTTCCTGTAGGAGTCATCACAACTCTGCCTTTAAAAGATTCTCAGATTCTCTCCTCCCTCATTCACATACCTCCTCAAAATCCAATTTCACTTACACTCCTTTCAGCAAGACAACTCTCAACTAAGAGAAGGAGGTCTCCAGCTCTGCTGCACATTAGAAGGACCTCAGGAATGCTTGCAATGCCCTCTGCCCAGAGACACTCCAGGCCAATTAAAATAGAATCTCTGAGGGTGGTAGTCAGGTACCACTATATATATGTTTAGCAGTTCTCAAGGTTCTTCCAATGTTCTGGCAAGGCTGAAAGCCACTGCCTTAGCATGTTCACCAAGCCCAAACCTGTTGTAATTCAAACCATGTCTTCTTGTGCCTCAAGATGACGTCTGTAACAAACTCAAATTCATGGATCCCCCCCAAACAGTCCTGGTCATATATGCTGGTGTTCCAAGGTCAGATGAAGACAGAATCGTGCAGGTTTGAGACTAAGTGGAGTCAAAGCTGGTCTTGCAATTTCCACTCTGGGCAGCAGTGGAGAATGTAAGTGCAGCTAGTTACATATAATTCATAATATGTTTGTAACACCTAAGGGTGACTGGAGTACCTAACCAGAAAATACCCAGGTTGTTTTAGAAACTTAGGGTTGCTTGTTTTTTAAGAAGAATACAATCAATTGTATTATATTTTTGAAATGAAACAATCAGAGTTCACCAAACACTGTGAAGAATTATCAACCCTAATGGAGTATGTTTCTAGATGATATTTAAATTGAGAGAATATCACATAGTATTATGCTCTATTTGACTTCCCTGGTGGCTCAGATGGTAAAGCGTCTGTCTACAATGTGGGAGACCTGGGTTCGATCCCTGGGTTCAGAAGATCCCCTGGAGAAGGAAATGGCAACCCACTCCAGTACTATTGCCTGGAAAATCCCATGGATAGAGGAGCCTGGTAGGCTATAGTCCATGGGGTCGCAAAGAGTCGGACACGACTGAGCGACTTCACTATGCTGTATTTGGGGAGAGACTGAGATCAGACTGTGAAGTAGACAGGTCATGTTCTCTTTTAAAAGATATCTTTTATTTTTCCACCTTCAACCCCACATTCTTTTAACCATTGAATCTTCAAATCTCAGTAGTATTCTAAAAGGAATAATGCTTTCCCCCAAGCATTTTCATGTGGGAGCTTAAAAAAAAAAGCTAAAGAAAAATAATTATTATTTTGTATTTGAGGAGCCCGAGTGAGTTCCACCCTTCCATCAGGGTCTTACCAGCATTCAGCAACACAAAACATGTTCCTCAAATTTCCTCACACTATAATTTTATGTACTTTTCTTTATTATTCTCCAAGATGTCTTAGAATTTCCACCATATTTTTTTTTTACAAATCTTTTATGCATTTCTTCCCAATAAAGTTGTAAAATAAAGCCACTCTGATGCTTCTATCCATGTGGGATTTTCGCACCCAGGGTGTAAATGTAGAGCTGTGAGTTTGGTTTTAGCAAACAATGTATGTGTCATACCTTGTAATTCTTTCGTGGCTTTGGTTTGACATTAAAATAGGAGAGGTAGTACACTCAGAGCTCCGTTACCTTTTACACCAGGCATGCAATGTTCTCCGAGAAGACGAATGACTGGATTCCATTCTGGTTATTAAAGTGAGGTTTATAATGCTGTTCAACAAAAGTGCATTTAATAGCATTTTCATTATATTCAAATCATTCCCAGAGTTATACACTTAAAAAGTAAATGAAGTGTAGTTCTGTAGAGAATTACTCCTGTGTGAATTCAGGCAAGGTAAGAATAGTATATTATTCTTAATGGAAAATCTTGAATACATATTTGAGCTATAAATACATGTAAAGATGAATGATATGTTTTCCTAGGGTATTTTACTGTGAAGTTAAAGGTGGTTAAGGCAAAAGTTTATAAAGAAATTTGAAAATTTCTTATGGAAAATGGGTGGCATACTCTTCAATTCCTGTAGCCTTACTGCAGCCCATCCCTCAAGTCGCTCCATTTGCTCCAGAAAACACCTGCTTTGTGTGTGGCTTGATGTTCACACGCTGAGTGATGGCGTTCCTCCTGCTTCCCGGGGACACATGTCATTTGGGCTCCCAGGAAGAGCTCCTCATGCATGGCTATGCATAATATTTTCTCTTACATTTTACTTTTGTTCTTTGGGACTAGGTAAAATCCTTCCACATAATCAGCCCTAAAAAGCTAGTAATCAGGTAACATAAAGAATTAAGGCTCAATAAAGCTGGAGGAAAAAAAAAAATACAATGTAAATAATAAAAAACAGGATAATGAGAGAGAAAAGTTGTTTTGTTGTCTCCACAATATAAATTATGATATTGATCATCCAAAGATGGCAATTATATGAAAGAGGAGTTAATTTTGTAAATTTAAATAAAGGGATGATTAAAAGTTAACCTCAAATTAACAAATCATGTATATTTTTCTTGTTTTTACAATTTAAAAGTCACCTTTAATCATAAATAATAGGTAAAAGTATAACAAAATAAGACTTTATGGGATTACTTAATATCCAGTGGCAAAGTGTGTTTCTCTGTCTTATCTGTCAATTCCTTCTGCTTAGACTTATGGCAGCATATTTGTAAGTAAATTTCAGTTTGTAGAATTGTATGAAAACTTCAGTATTTTTCATTCTGGCTTCTTGCATGAGTCATGTTAACCTGTATTGACTTATAATCTGGAAGAAATTAGATCAGGCCAAATAGAAGTGAGGCTGTTGGTTAGAAAACAAACTAAAAAAAGAATTGAAAATATGACACACAACACTATGCTTTATAACAGCAATGCCCTCTACCACTAGTTGTTTATAACTGTGAAACCCGCAAGACTATAGAAAATGTGTTTTCCAAAGCTGAGTCTCTTAAGAAAGCTCACTGCAATTTTTATTTTGAAAAGAGAGTTGATTATAGAATTGAGCCTGATATACAAGGTGGTAAACACATGTTTGGTCAAGCAAAAATATTTATGGTAAAAGAGTACCTAAGTGTCAGGATTCAGTATTTAATAAATACACTGAAATTAAGATGCATTTAAAGTTTTTCAGTCAAAAATTTAACAAATACATGATCTAAAATAACTTCAGCTTTATGTTAGTTTTTTCTTTAATTTTTAGCGCAATTTCAAAGATACACTCTAAAGTGCATCTAAAGCTATAGTTTAGGCCTATTTAAAAGACTGTCTTTGCCTTAATATTCTTCAGTATTATTTTTAGTATTATTTTTTACTCTGTTTATCCTAACAATTTTTTATACTACATTTGGGTTGTATATGATTGAACAAATATGAGCGGTTATAATCTGAAATTATGTTATTCTAACCCCATGAAAAAACATGGATGAACTTTTGCTTAGGAATAAATTTTATTTTTCTAATAAAAATATCAATATAATTTTGATAATTAGATCTTTTTTGGATAGCATTATTAACATTTAGACTATGAGGTTACAGTCAGCCCCTTGAACAACACAGATTTGACCTGGGAGGGTCCACTTATACTCGGATTCTTTTCAGTAGTAAATACTACTGACTCATGGTTGATTGAATCCCTGGATGGCAAGGTTGATTGATCCCAGACATAGAGGAACCACATATTCAGAGGGCTGACTGTAAGTCATATGCAGGTTTTTGACCATACAGAGGTTCAGCACCTCAATCCCTGTGTTGGTAAACGGTCAACAGTAGTAT